CTTGAGGATGAGGGCGTCGCGCTCCGCTTGGAGCTTCTGGAGAGCTTTGAACCTCTGCTCCTCGCCCAGCACCTCCTGGATGACGCCCATCTTCTCCTTGCTGGGTTTGGCGTCCAACTCCAGCTCGTAGAAGAGCTCCGAGTACTCCAGGAGAAGCTCCTGGAAGTCCTCCTTGGCTTTGTCGATGAGCTGCTTCTGGTGCTTGCCGTAGATGTCCACGTAGACCGACTCGTCCAACCACAGGTAGAAGTCCTCGTTCATGATGAAGCTCCTGGCCTCCTCCCAAGGCTTGCCGGGCGTGACGAAGGGCGAGCTCTCCAGGTTCTCGCGGAACGCCCTCCTCATCTCGGCGCGCTTCCGCTCGTTGCGCAGCTTCTCCACGTGCGCCTCGTAGAGCTGCTCGGCCGCCGGCGTCTCCAGGAGGTCGAAGGGGATGCGCTCGTTGTCCACGTCGTCCACGTGGCTGGTGGCGTCCCACGGCGTCTCCTCCAACACCACGAACCACTTGAGAAAATCCGGCTTGGCCTCCAGGAGCTTCTCGAGCTTGGCGCGGCTCAAGCGGTCGATCTCGTCGAGATCGGGCACCAGGGCGTCCAAGGCTTGGGGCAGCAGGGCCAGGTAGACCTTGCGGCGGCGCTCGATGTGCTCCTGCTTGAGGCGCTGGACGTGCTGCAGGAAGAGCTTCTTGGCCTTCTGGGTGCCCTCCAAGTAGACGTAGTCCTGGTACTCGGGCGCCGCCGTCATCTTGCGGCTGACGTTGGGCCAAAGCTCGTGGTGGCTCTTGACGATGCGGCCGACGAGCCACTCGTACTTGTCCTTGGCGGCGGCGATCTGCTGGCTCTGCTGCTTGAGGGCCTCGAAGTAGGGGATGATCTTGGCCTTGCCTCTGCTCTTGTCCACCAGTTGGACCAACGTGCCGAAAGCCAGCTCGACGTTGACGTTGGAACGCGCCGAGGTCTCCACCACCTGCAGGTTCTTCTTGCCTAGCGCGAAGGCGTGAGCGTCGCGGATGTAACGCTCGACGCCCTCGTCGCATTTGGTCAACACCACCACGGCGGGTTTCTTGGTCTTGGCCACTTGGTTGTAGAGGTTGGAGACGAACTTGAGCTGCTCGTCGAAGTTGCGGTTCATGCCGCGGCTGACGTCGACGCAAAGCAAGAAGCCGTCCACCGGCAGTTTGCCGTCGGGCATCTGCTTCTGCTCGAAGTCCTGCTCCAAGCCCAGCTGGTCGGTGCAGAAGTACATGAGCTTCTCGGCCGACGCCAGCTTGGTGGCCGCCGCCCGTTTGATGTAGGGTTGCAAGGCCGTGCTACGGTGAGGTTGGAAGGTTTGGTCGTCGATGAACTCCGTCTGCTCCACCACGTGGATCCTGCACTCCACGCACTCCTCCAAAGCTCGGGCCACCTCGCCCCAGTAGAGGAAGTGGTCATTGTTGACCACGCGTCCTCCAAAGTCACTGGTGCTGAGCACCGAGGTGTGCTCCAAGTGGAAGTCGTCGGCGCCGGGCCGGACGAAGCGGTTGCAAAGGCAAGATTTGCCGACGCCGCATTGGCCTTTCTCCTTCTCGGTGCCCGACAGCCCCACCACGCTGACGGTGTAGGTGGGCACGCGGCCATCTTGCTTGCGGGCCATCATCATGGCGGCAGCATGGTGGTGGCCCTGACGGGGACGGGGACGGGGTCAGGACAGGGGTGGTGGCACCATGGTGGTGGTGGTGGTGGTGCTGGTGGTGGTGGTGGTGGTGGTGGGGAGGGTTCAGGAGCTGGAGGGCGTCGGAGCGCGGCAGCTGAGGAGGGGTCCTGGAGGGAAAGAGAGAGGAGATGTTGGAGGGGGTGGAGATGGATTGGGGAAGGGGGGGAAGGGGGTCTCCACCCAGCTGGATGGTCGTGGTGGTGGACACAAGTTCTCCACCATGATGGACACAACTTCTCCAGCCAACCAAGATGGACACAAGTTCTCCACCCAACTGAGGGGCACCAAGATGGACACAAGTTGTCCATCCCACCAAGGGGCACCATGATGGACACAAGTTCTCCACCCAACCATGATGGACACAAGTTCTCCACCAAGATGGACACAAGTTCTCCACCCAAGATGGACACAACTGCACCTAACCATGGTGGACACAAGTTCTCCACCCAACCACAATGGACACAACTTCTCCACCCCATGATGGACTCAACTTCTCCAGCCAACCAAGATGGACCCAAATTTTCCACCCAACCAAAGATCCTCCAAGATGGACACAACTTCTCCAGCCAACCATGATGGACACAAGTTCTCCACCCAAGTGAGGGGCACCAAGATGGACACAAGTTGTCCATCCCACCAAGGGGCACCATGGTGGACACAACTTCTCCACCCAACCATGATGGACACAACTCCTCTATTCAACCGTCACCAAGATGGACACAAGTTCTCCAGCCAACCAAGATGGACACAAGTTCTCCACCCCAAGATGGACACAGGTTCTCCACCATGACGGACACAAGTTCTCCAGCCAACCAAGATGGACACAGGTTCTCCACCCCAAGATGGACACAGGTTCTCCACCCCAAGATGGACCCAAGTCCTCCACCATGATGGACACAAGTTCTCCACCCAACCACAATGGACACAAGTTCTCCACCCCAAGATGGACACAAGTTCTCCACCGTGACGGACACAAGTTCTCCACCCAACCAAGATGGACACAACTGCACCCAAGCAAGATGGACACAAGTTCTCCACCATCATGGACACAAGTTCTCCACCCAACAGAGGAGCACCAAGATGGACACAAGTTGTCCATCCCACCAAAGGGCACCATGGTGGACACAAGTTCTCCAGCCACCCAAGATGGACACAAGTTCTCCACCATGATGGACACAAGTTCTCCACCAAACCAAAGATCCTCCATGATGGACACAAGTTCTCCACCCCAAGATGGACACAAGTTCTCCACCATGATGGACTCAACTTCTCCACCATGATGGACACAACTTCTCCACCAAGATGGACCCAAGTTCTCCACCACAATGGACAAAACTCTTCTGCTCAACCAAGCTCCACTGTGATGGACCCAAGTTCTCCAACCAACCAAGGTCCTCCATGACGGACCCAAGTTCTCCACCGTGATGGACCCAAGTTCTCCAACCAACCAAGGTCCACCATGATGGACCCAAGTTCTCCACCGTGATGGACCGAACTTCATTTTCCCTGGAATTCGCTGACTCAGCACTTCCTGATGGACCTCAAAAATCCCCAAAAAAATTCCCCAAAAATTCCCGAAAAATCCCAAAAAATTCCGGAAAAAAATTCCCAAAAAAATTTTCCCAAAAATTCCTTTGGAATCCTCGCCCAGATCCATCCCAGAGCTGGAAATTCCAACTTTAAACCCCCCCAAAAAATTCCTGATTTTCCCCAGAATTCCCAATTTTTTTCCCTGACT